TTACCCGGATAAGAGTTCTCACCATCACTTACCAGGTAAGACTCTCTACACCTATCATCGCTCTTACCGGGTAAGATTTTCAGCCCTTACCATGTGCATCAAGTGAGAAAAGTTACTCAATCCACACTTTCCGGGTAAATATTTAGTAAACGGCCTCTTAATTCACTTTTTATTCAGTTGAAATTTGAATTTTTTTTAATAAAAGGCTCTTTTTCTTATTTAAAGAAAATATTGAAGTCATTATATTGATCGAGTAATTTAATTAGCTTGTTGTATCATTATTATTTTCCGACATATATTTTTGTATAAATTTTTTGGCATGTAAATAACATATAGAGGACATTTGACTATATGATCCCTTGTTTATTGATTTTCTCCATGTCTAAATTTAAAAGTAATCAGTAAATTTATTCTTTATGTCGCTATCTGTAAATCATTTAACCAGTATTATGAAATTATTTATTACAGTATTACTAAACATTATAACCAGCATAAAACTGATGAAGAAAACATATTTGACAAATAATTAAAAAAAAAATTGAAATATTACTAACTAGTTTTCAGGTTCTTGTTTATTGGTTCACAACCACGGATTTTGTGGGAATTGATCCAATCCGATTATTTAGTGGATGTTAAATATGACAACTGACTCAGTTTATTTTAACTTTGAACAACCAACCCGATCCAATCCAATCAAAAAGATAATTTCTTATTCCATCAATTTTATCCGTTGGATAATCAACGCAATGTTTTGAACCAATTAGTTAAAAGCTCTACTCATCAGCTCACTTTGAAACAACTAAACGATCCAATTTGAACATTGAAAATATGGATCAAATCCAATTCAACTTTAGTCGGTCAATTGTAATTTAATTGGAGAACATTCTGCACATCCCTATTTGATATAAAAAAAACATTAGATTAAAGACAGAAACATTATTGCAAACACATAATGGAACATGATACAATAATCGTCGAATAAGATAGTATTAATCTCTGTCCCTTTCTTCTAAAAAAAGAAAATTCTTGAAACTTATTACAGTTGCAATCACCAAATCAAACGTTAATACTAACTTTCATTTGACATCCCTTAATTACCTTCTAAAGCTAACTTCCACACTCCATAAAAAAAATTCTTGATTAGTCAATACCTCTAACATTTTCTAAAGATAGCAGTCATATTCTTAACTACACAGCATAGATATGCAAATTAGATTAGAAGAACCAGACAAAACCATTAGAGCCCTCGATACCCTATAAAATCATCCTCTAAATCTGAAACTTTTCATTCGTAATAATTGATAAAAAAAAGATGATTAAAATAATGGTAGTGGCCCAACTTGTGTGGATGAGTGGAGAAATGAGCGAGGTAAGTGTTGAGTTATTAGGAATTGGATGCTTAAAATGGTCCAAAAGATGGATTTTGAGGCCATTGAGTGAAAGGAATCAATTAATGGAACCAAAATAAGACCAAAAGGCATGAACCTTGCATTTCTTATCCCACATTTCATTGCCACCCAATTTTATTTTCTTTATTTGTCAATTGTCCTACTTATTCCTCATGTATTTATAGCATCTAATGCTATATAATGTAATTTTTAAAAAATATCCATCAATTTATTAATTTTAAAAAGTAATATTAATTAAAAAAAAATGAGATATCAGTTCTCTTGGTATTTTTTTTCAAATATAAACATAATCTTTTTGTTGGATATTAAAATCAAATTCATTTAATGTTCTGTAAAATTAAAGATACCTTTGTTACAAATTTTTCACGCAATAAAAAAAGGAAAGGTTTATAGGGTTTGTACGGTCACGAAGATCTGCCCGTGCTTGTATATGACTTACATGTTTCGAGTGTAGCATCTCTTTTTTCTTTACTTTATTATTTCATGATTGCATAATATTATAAAGTAATATTTATATTCTCCAATAGTTTGATGGTTCGGTTTCATGGTTTATCGTGTCAACGAAAGTTGAGGTGTCATCAGAGACCAGTTATTCGATAAATTTTTTTTTCAATAAATTGATTTGTAAATTGATTGATTCTTGGGTAGTCATTGATTTTAGACTTTAATAAGTAAAACAAGAATTTGGGGGTGCTTATCAAACCATGATACTCCCAGTTGACTCAGTCATCACGAAAATAGTCGGTTTTATTTAGTTAAAAATGTTCACTCCACCTTGTAAGAAGGTTTTAAGTATTATTTTTCAAAGAATAAATTTTCACCTCAATGAATTCGTTCGACGCTGATATTACCGTTTAATTGTAATGTCATGGTTGAATTTATGTTTTAAATAGTTAAATTTATGTTCTCTCGCTGGTTTCTTTGTTTATTGCCCATACTTTTATTAATAGATTGTTAATTACCTCTTTTGATGGTCATTCACATAGCTAGTTCATGATCCATAACGAAACTAGTATTGTTGTCATTGTCTCTCAGTGGTTAATTCAGAGGTGCCAACCAACGTGTTTGCAGTTAATTTAAAACACATTAATTACATGCCATGGAAAAAGAAAAATTCTTTAAAGATGTGTGTCAATCTGATAGCTGAAATTATTTATGGGGGAACATGCATCTCTAAAAGCACGAAAAACTCAAGGTAAGCTCCTAACCTCGACTATGTGCGTCGCCTGTGCAAGCTCTTAAGCGTACCTTTAGGCTCGCTTTCGATACACATAGGCTATTGGTTCGATAATGTGACATCCCAAAGCCTAAAGCAACGAACTAGCCCAATAACTTCGAATCCAACTTAAAACCATGGTGGAAGTTATTGGTGGCCCACTACTTGAGACTTATCCAGAATCTTCCTTCTTGTCATCGGCAATGTGGGATTTTCCTAAGATGTTACAAACACCCCCTCTTGAGGACTCATCATACCCGATGAGGTTTGCCCCACCCTCTCGATGGTACAAGGATCGGCTCTGATACCATTTGTAACACCCCAAAGCCCAAAGCAACGAACTAGCCCAATAACTTCGAATCAAACTTAAAACCATGGTGGAAGTTATTGGTAGCCCACTACTTAAGACTTATAAAGGGGTAACAATTATCACATTCTATCAATGTGGGACGAGTTGTTACAGATAAAGAAGATCTTCTAGCCCATTTTGACATCCAAACACCAATAACCCTTCAAACTTTTTTGCTTATAAACAATACTAACATATATACCTAACATACTGTAAAGGGTACAATTCCCTTTGCTATTAGTACAACTCCACACTGCACAAAATAAGCTAAAGAAAGCTCAAAAGTTTCATATATGCTGAGAATGTAATAAATACAAGGATTCTTAATACATCATCACTTAGGAAAATGAAAGATGGATACGTAATCTTTTAGGAAAGATAAAAAGTTACTGGAAAGAAAGCCACTGAAGGAGAATTTCATAAAAGAAGAAGATGATATCAAGAATAGAAACTTGAGAATATATTTTCTTTCATGTCACGGACTCCTCTTTATTAAGCTCAACCAAGAGCATAGTTCTAGAATGTTCTAAGCAGGCCTAACACATATATCTTCTTTATACACCATCTAATCAACAAAATGCTCAAAATTGAGCCTTTTTTTACGAATAATACTAAACCACATGAATGCTAATCTTTTCACCAATTTAATGGCTTTAAAGCCTCCAAGAACGTCTCGACCAGATTCTTCAAAAGTTTTTTCGAAATCAAGAACTAAAATTCAAATTTTTTAAAGAAGATTGCATTCAACTTCAACAGTTTATACATTTTAGAGATTACATCTTTATTTATATTATTAAAATATTTTATACATTTAATAAAATATTATTTCTCTCTGGTAAACATTTAATTTTAAGGTTTTTTATTGTTGGAATACCAGAAAAAAAAATTATTTTTCTCTTATAGTAATCATGTTTTGAGGATAACTCCAAATTTGGAGAAATTTTCATTCTTTTTTCCATTTTGGAGAGTTATATATTCGGGTGTGTGCCTTTCTAAGAAAGAAGGGCTTGGATTTTGAAAATATGTTAGAACATAAAATTATTCAAAACCCTCATTTTCTTTACTTAATAAAATTTAATTAAAACAAAGCATTTTTTCCCCTTAAAATTATTACATGTTTGACTTTTTTAGAGTTCATTTATTATGATTTGAATATTTATGGAAGATGAATATGATTCATTTGTTATGATTTGAATATTTATGTAAGATGAATATGGTTCATTAATTATGATCAATACTTTATATTATGAAACAATCAAAACTTCTATGAAATCGCATATTAATCAAATGAAATGGACGGTTAATATTGGGTTGTATTGGTTGCACAAATGCCAAAGGTTGTATAATAACCAACCATTGACATTTGTGCAGTCAATACAATCCAATCTCAACCGTCCATTTCATTTGATTAATATGTGATTTCATAAAAGTTTTGATTGTTTCCTAATATAAAGTATTGATCATAATTAATGAACCATATTCATCTTGCATAAATATTCAAATCATAATAAATAAACTCTCATCATTTCCATAAATATTTCAATTTATTGAGTTGCATTGGTTGTAAAAATGCAACGGGTTGTATTTGAAACAAACTCTATAAAAAATAGACATTTATTTTAAAAACAAACAATTATTTTAAAACAAAAAAAAAATATTAACATTCATTTTAAGGAGAAAAATAGTAATAATTTTTACGGAAAAAATCCCACATGCTGACATGCACTACTACCGTATTTAACGTATATATTTAAAAAAAATCATAATTCAATGATATTTCTGTTTTTATAATTAAATTTTATAAATATTAAATCACATGGAATATAATTTTCTGAACATATGAAAATACTCATATAATAAAATAATACAATATATTTGTTTGTAAAGCACAAACGAAAACGAAAACGAAACTCGTAGGTGGTTAGACTGGTGATGGTGTTGCAAAATGTTTCGGGTTTATTCCCCGGATACGATTCTCTCTCCATTAAACTAAAGTTTATTGCTTCGAGGTCTCCTCCTCCTCCATTCTCCGCCGCACACCACCATCAACCACTCACATTCCTCCATTTCTATAAAACCCCTCAATTCCACACAACCCGTAATCCACATTCTCACCATACAACAAATCCCATTTCCGGATTTTTCGTATACGCTTTTCTTGTGTCTTCACATTTTCAAGAAAACCCTAGTCTTATTTAGCATTCTTTCAATCCCAATTACTTGTATTTCATAACCAACATGGCTCTTGCCTATGACCCTCATTTTATTGGGTCTGAAAATCTCGATGACGACGCCGCCACTTCTCCTTCTCCGTTGGTTTTGACTCAAGATGAACTCAAGAAAATCGCTGCGTATAAAGCTGTTGAATTCGTCACATCGGGTATGGTTGTCGGACTTGGAACCGGGTCTACCTCCAAACATGCAGTCGACCGTCTTGGGGAGCTTCTCCGGCAAGGTGTACTCACGGACATCGTCGGAATCCCCACCTCAAAGAGGACCCACGAACAAGCTTTGTCTCTAGACATCCCTTTGTCGGATATTGAGACACACCCAGTTCTTGATTTGGCCATCGATGGAGCAGATGAGGTCGACCCGGAAATGAATTTGGTTAAAGGGCGTGGCGGGTCTTTGCTACGTGAAAAAATGATCGAATGTGCTTCTAAGAAATTCGTTGTGATTGTCGATGAATCGAAGCTCGTTGATTACATTGGTGGGAGTGGTTTAGCTATGCCCGTTGAGATTGTGCCCTTTTGTTGGAAATTCACATTACATATGCTTCAATCGTTGTTTCAAGAAGCTGATTGTGTGGCAAAGCTTCGAACTTCCTCCGAAACTGGAGAACCTTATGTGACTGATAATAGCAATTACATCATAGATTTATATTTCAAGAAAAATATTGGGGATTTAAAGGCTGCCGGCGATGCCATGTTGAGGCTTCCCGGAGTGGTGGAGCACGGGTTGTTTCTTGGTATGGCTACCACTGTTATAGTCGCCGGTAAGCTTGGTGTCACCGTCAAGAACAAGTCTTAGCCCTTTCTGAGCCATTGCTAAGGAGAAAGGTAGATCAGAAAATATTCAACTTTTTTGCATTTTGAGTAGTTTCTGGCTAACAATATTAAGATATGAAATCGGGGTTTATGTTCCCCATTAGAGATACTGTAACAGGGGAAAGTTTCCAATCGTTCTGCACTTGTTAATCTTATATACTAACGAGGATAATTTGCCTCAAGATTTTTGTTGGTATTAATTTGAATAGTTTTAGGGGTCAGTATGTGTTCTTCTATCTTGTTACAAATTAGAAATTGGGGAAAACAAAGCACATATAATGAATCTCTCCTTAAAAAGCCAGTTTTGAGATCATACTTGCTTAAGCTAAATTTCGGGCAACCATTGTTCATATATACTCTCTTGATTCATGATTTCTGTCATGATCTGTTGTTATTTTGATTGTGCCATTGAAGTGAATTTGTCTTTTGCCCTTGGGAGTAAACCTAATGTAAGAGCTGCATATATGATATATATATGGATTCACCATGGAGAATGCAAGAAATGATCAGCTGAAAGATGAACTTGAGGTACTGTAGATACAAATCATTTCGATTTGAAGGCTGATTGCATGGAAAGACTGAATTTGGACATACGGAAATTCGATTTTCTGGATATTGTTACATCATTTTGTTGTTGAATCTAGACCAGAATGATACTAGTTTCAATAATTGTGCATGATGGATTAGCTTGTTGAAATTTGTAACAAGATAACCCTGTTTGCATAAAGATCTTTATGATCAAGAACATGGTGGCAACCTGAGGTCAAAGGGGTGATTCATTTGAGCTCCTTCCAGAAATGATTCTGGACTTCTATGACTCTTGAACCCTGAGTATGGACACTCCTGAAAGGCTGAACCTGGAAATCTTATATGACCAAGAGTTCATTTTCGAATAGATCTTTTCGTTCTAATACTCTATCCAGGTACCTATTTAACGGAGTACTATTGGATCAAATGACAAACGCATTGTTGAGAATCTTTGTTCTATAATTCAACAAATCTTGTGAACTTTTCCTGCAATACAACATTTCAATAGCAAGCAAAGTTTTGGCCTCGAATGGAAGTACTCGATATCCCTCAATGAACATATCCTCTTCATTTAATGGATAATTGGTTCAAATTTATCGGAAAAAGATGGTATATAGAATATGGTAAGGGACATGGAAGACAAAGGAGAAACAAGAAGAACCATTGCAACATCATCGTCGTCTCACGTATTCCGTTTCAAAGCAAGTCTTGCAGAAATTCTTCACAAGATACAAAACATCTTGGAGTGGCATCAACAATTTATGTCCATTAAGCTAATTAAGCCAGTCTTAATAGAAACGCTAAATATGCTTAAAACCGCTAATTAGTTAATTGGAAGAATGGAGTATGATTTATTGTTTATTAACTTGTCAAATCCACTGCATACAAAGAAAACCTCTCATTTTTATAAGATCCCTCACCCTTCAAAGTGCCATCAAGATTAAAGGACCAAGTAGCAAGAATGCAAGTCAGAAAACATCAAGCTTAAATGGACTTGGTTACTATACTATATAGCCTTTTTACTAAAGGTTGCCTTTTCATATTTGGAATGCTGGACCAGCAGTTGGTTTCATTAATTTTTTTGTAAAAGAAGAACAAGTCGAAGAACGCCTGATTTTCGAATCCTATGATGCATCTAGCACACATAGGAGCCAATTTGACCTTAATCTGATCATTTACGGGCCTAGGCTGGCCCGCTATTGGAGGAAATGAGTTTTGTCTGAAGCCAATTCGACATGGGTTTGATCTAGTATCCGATAATGGAATCACTTATAAACCCATTAAAGTTCCCTTTTCATTTATGTGGGACAAACCCATTTGCACTTCCATTCTTCCCAACATCTGTCCTCTACACATCGTTTTGATGATCAATTTCTCATTCATTTAAACTCTGTTTTATGCATGTAATATATCATGATGAAGCTTTTACTAAGGGCTTTACAGAAATTTTCTATTCGGAGCATGAATTCAAGCATATTTTAGGGTCCAAATTGGGCATAAAACCCAATTTCTCCAACAAGAAGAGTAGAAGAAAGCTAGCTAGCAAGACATATATGATTTCACGGGAGATTGGTGATCCATTTTCTGGCCATTGAAGCACCAAAGAAGCTCTTAGATGAAGTTGAAAGATTAAGAAGAATTATTCTTAGTGGGACAACTTAGATATAGGTAGGAAAAAAGTGTAGTTTGGAGGAAATATATATGCAGAGGGAAACAAGAAGGTGCAATTTCATTAGACACAAATAGTGCAGCTATGTTGGTTGGCATATCAACCGCGACAACTTCACCTAGTGGCCTAACCGGTGGTTAACTGTGAGATGGGGATCCTTTCGTCCAAGGTCATGTCAAATGGTGTTTCAACATGATATATGAAACCGGGGCTTGTACATTGTTTGGACCCAATTATACAGTTGCCTGTCGCACATCAACTCAAACACAATGTTGTAAATGACCTCATCAACCTTATATATGCCAATATATTGCTGCTGTACTTCTTTAGGTTAATTAGAGTTATTTTTTGTTTTACAGTTCAGATTTTTGTTACTAGATCCTTTTACCAACACAACAAATGTTTGATCACAACTCACAATGTTAGCGCCAAATTTACCTTCAAAGTGTCGGCTTTTTTTTTGTTGTCTTAATAATTATGAGAATCTGTAATTATTTAAAAATGTATTTTCCTGTCAGAGTGGTCCAGATTGGTAGTGGTCGACGGTGATTCAAATCAGTGGTGGTCGGCAGTGGTTCAGATCGGTGGTTGTTGGCGGTGGTTCAGATAGGCGGTGGTCAATGGTGGTTCAGAGTTGTGGTTCAAATCAGTGGTGGTCGTCGGTGGTTCAAATCGATTGTTCAAAACGGTGCTTTAGATCGGTGGTGGTTGGTGAAAGTTTAGATCAGTGGTGGTCGGTGAAAGTTCAGATGGAGGTCATATGGGTCTGGGTAAATCAAATAGGGAAGATGAAGATAATTTTGGTTTTTTTTTTTGTTGAGAAAATGGGATAGAAGGGAAGTGAATTCCTTCTCAATTATGATGGAATGACTAAATCCATGAAATTGGAATGTGAGAAATTCAATTCCTTTTCATAAGTAAACCTAACGTTTGAATGAAATTTGGTTAACGTAATTGATTGTTCCAATTCTTTCAGATTCCATCGGAATCCTGCTAATCAAACGCCCCCCTAAGTCTTTGTTTGGTAAACTAAGCCAATAGGTTAGTTGTTGACTGAAAAGATAGTAAGCGAAACACTAGTTGGTGAATAATCAAGTTTGACAAAAACTAACTGGTAAATTAAATAAAAAATATAAAATGATCAGAGAGACTACATTAAAAAATTTATCAATTCCAACATTATATAATATAATTGAAACAAATCGTTATTAATATAATATGTTAATTTACATAACTTTAATTTAATCATAATTTCTCTAAAATAAAGAAGGAAAAGTTAAAGTCTCAAAAATAAAGATTTACACCCAACTGCAAAAGTTTATTTATTTTCAAAATTTCAATATTAGCAATATTATTAAAATATTTTATAAATTTATCATCTCAATAAATTTAAAAAAATTAAATAATAATATATTTAATCTAATTGGTGAAAACAACAAGAAAAACATTACTTTTTCTTAAATATTTAATTTTAATAGGTTGTACAAATTTGGAGAGTTTTATCGTCTCCCATGTGTTTTCTCTAATTTTTAGTAAGCTTGCGACCAAAAAAGTAGCCTAAATATTTATTTTAGAAAATTTGTTAGAGATAATTTTAAAAATATCTTTAAAATCTTTCATAATACATCTCCAACTCATCACTAAAATACAAAAATGAAGGATCTTGATGCTCCAACTCGCCGCTAATAAAACACCAAAAGTTAAAAAGTCCTAAAAAAACTTAATGTTCATTAAGAGGTTGTTTGACAGCTGTTGAATGACTTGGTATAGAATGATTAAGTTGTCAGAATGATTAAGAAACTCTTATAATATAGTGTAAAATGAAATATAATTGTTTGATAATTATTCAGAATAAAATTAAGGTGTTGAATGGTTCAGGGATGCCCTAGATACAAAATCATTTAGAGAGTTTTAGAACCATTAAGAGACAAACCTTTTTCTTGCCAAACAAGATTCACCTCTTAGCGATTCAGAGACTGTCTCTTAATGGAACTGTTAAAAGGTAAACAAAACAACCTCTAAGTCCATTATTGTTAAGGGTTTTTATTCTTCATATTTTTAATGGTTGGATTGAAGATTGCTTATCTTAAACAAAATTAATTAATTAATAACTTGTTTTATTTAAGGATTTTTTTTTTCATTTTAAAAAATTTATTGGAGTTATAGAAAATTTATGGAAGACATATATACTCCTCCAAGAAAAGCTTAAAAAATCAGTTTAAGGGGGTGTTTTGGAATGTTTATAAAAACAACTTATTAACTTATTTCGGTGTGGCACCGGTAATAAGCATTTTTTGAGTGTTTGGATATACAACTTATACCGGTAATAAGAAGTTTTTAAATAAGTTAAACTCTTCTTACTTATAATAAGTTGATAAATGTTTTTATAGAAAAAGATAACTTGTTATTCATCAATGACAACCAAGGTAACGTAAATTCCATCCATCTTGAGTTATTTAAGGGGGGAAAGGGCGTCCGCATATGGACATCCACTATAACTTGTTCCTGGATTGCCAAAGCCACTATGAAGTGTTCTTATTTTAATTATTATTTTAAACAATAAATAAATGCGACTGGATTAGAGGATTCTTCCTTCAATTCTAATTGAAGAATAAATAACCAAATCAAGTACACCCTTTGCTTCATCATCAAAGTACAATTAATACAATAAACTAATTAGCTTTTAATTAACAAACTAATTCACTTTCTTAATTTCATCCCTCCTATTGCTTCATTCCATAATCAACCTTCAATCCAAAAGCTTCTGATATGAATCTACCCAACTAATTAATACCATGTATATATAATCCATCTTTCTAAATATGTAATAACCATTCGAAAGTGTCTGTTTTCGGAACTGAAAAGTTTCTAGTTGTAAGTCACTTACTAATGATCATTACAGAGATCCTAGCTAGACTTCATTCATCTGGGTTCATAGGAGCTGTACATCTTAATCTTGATATATATGTAATGGGGTTCAAGTTTCAAAGTTTAACAGTCAAATATATCACCTTATTCTTATTAATTTCAGGGTCTTTAGTTTCCAACAAAGAAAGCACAGTTTTGCATCCATACCAACAGATAACTGAAAGAGCAAATTAAGGTTTGTGAAGTTGTTGGAAAGCTAAAGAAGAGGCACAATCCATTGTTTGGAACCCTATTCTCTCCTTCTGCATGTCATACACAACCTCCACATTCTGTTGTTGAAAGCTCCCAAAAACCCCAGCTGGTCCATAATCTTCATCATCCATACTTTGGAACAACAAACACTTGACCACTGTCGAGTTTCGAGGTGCATTCATTGCATAGAAGTTGTTCCCTTGGGGTAAAACCAGGCTCACATTGTTCAAGAAGTGGAATGTGATTGAAGGAAGAAGATGGTCATCCACATCCATAATTTTCATACCGTTTGTAACGTTGTTGGTACATGGAACCCTATAGCAGAGATCAAACCCCGTTCGTTCCTCCACCTCAGTAGCTCGAGGGTGGTCGATGACTGATTCAAGTTCCGCGAGAAGTTGAGAGAAGAATGGTTGGGGTAAATGAGTGTATGTTGTTCCTGAATCTATCAACATACCCCCATTTCCGGATGAATCAAAATCTCTCAAGTTTGTAGGAACTCGAATCATGGAACCCGAGCCAGTGCCGAGAGTTATACCCTCTAGCCCGATATAATAGGAATTTGGATACATGGGATTCTTCAACATTTGAGTGAACTGCAAATGTTCCTTTGAAGATATTGCAAGATCTCCAACAACCAATGGGCTAGAAATATTAGGGTTGTTGGCGAACTTGAAAGCCAAGAAACAATGAGAGAAGCCCTTTTGGAGAAAACCTAACTGAGAAGGTAGAGAAAGCGAACCTTTCCCAAACCCTGCAATTCCCCTGGGCTCTCTATAAGTTGATCCTACGCACCCAAAGTCGAAATTGGCTATCTCTCTAGTAACACCTTCAGTATTTCCATGGACTCTTAACGTATCCCTGGTTAGAGTACCCGCAACAACACCTTCCCCATACGTGTACACGAAGGTAGGGCATGGCCTTGAGCAAGTGGCCTTCATTAGGGTACTTAACGAGCAACCAGCAATATAACAAGGATCGTAAGGATTATCAGAGCTATGAACATCGATACAAAACTGACTAGCGCAAGAATCCCGAACACAAGAAGACGAATGCGACGGTGAGTAATTGGACATGGGGGTATTGTTTGTATAGTCGTCACAATCAATGCAATTGAAAGAGAGATTTCCACAAGGCACCCAAGTGAGATCACTCCCGGTATCCATATACACTTGTACGACCTGTGGGGGTGAGCCTAGATTCAGAGAAATTAGGTACCCGTCCCTCACTTCTCTTAAGGGCTCTATCATGTCCAACATTTGGGATGAAAGTTTAAGGTTTAAGGTTGAGGATTCTTTCGGGAGTTTGATGGTGGTCCTGGCGTTAGTTAAACCTAGGACTAGAGAATCTGAGGTTTTTGGGTGCTGTCTTGCATGGGAATGGTTGGCAATGGAGAAAAGAAAGACGAAAAGGAACAAGTTGAAAATTAGGGTATCAAACGTGGAGAGAGGAGCCATTGTAGATTTGATTTGCTCTATTGATGTTTCTAAAAGAGCCTCGTATTTATAGACAAGAAAAGACCTTAATTCACATAATTGCTAGGGTTTTTATGTTATCATAGATGGACAAGAACATGAGATAATTAATACATCACCTTATTACGCTAATTAATTTTTAAGGAAAATTTATGAGTTTAATTGTAACATTAATTGTTACTATACTATAAATTGGCAAGGGGCTCTTAATGAATCTACTCATTATGGTTGATATATAATAGTATTAATCAAAAACTATGACCGAAATAGACAATTTGGCTAGGACTTTTTCCGTCTCAAACTAAGGCCAAAATTAATTATGAACTTCTAATGGCACATAATAAATTAATAAATAACCAGTTTAATCGATGATAAGTAAAATAAATAATATATGAACGTAAGAAAAACTCAATATGCTAACATAACAAGATGTAAAATAATGTATTACAAGTTTATTACTCATTTATCAAGTTTGAACCTTTATATATTATTCTAAGGATTGTTTTTTTTCATTTCATGTGTGTAGGTGAGAGAGTTTGAACATGTGATATCATTGAAATGTTCGATATATTGTAAACCATGCCATATACATATAGCATGCATGTGTAAAGGAAAGAGCATCTTAATTATAAATTAAGTGTACTTTTTAAGCTAAAATCACCAAGTTAAATGACAAGACACTCCAATAAGACAAACATTTTAGAACCCGTAACCATTGTATTGGGTATCACAATTAATATAGTATTACTATTTAGAGAAAAGTCTAAAAAAAAACTTAATGTATTTTAGTGCTTGATTGATTAAGTTTTTGAACAATTTTTTGGAACAAATAAGTCATTTGGACATTCCAAAATCTGTTAAATAACTCATTGGACTTTCTAAAACATGTTAGATACATTCTTATGACTTGTACACATGGTTAATATGGTAAAATAATGAAAAAAAATATGAAAAAACCAATGGACTTTCATGTTTTAAACGATTAAGTTCCTAACATTTTTTGAATAAAAAAATACTTACATCTATAAACAAATATACCAAAAAAATACTTACATTGATTAAATTTATTTTAATTAAATATAAAATATATATTTTATCAATGATTTTTTAAA